CTTCCCCCCTCCGCAGCACCTGCTGCCCCAAAACCTGAACCACCCGACCAGACCCGGGCATGGAAAGGAAGCCCCGGAACAAGTGTCTCATTTAAAAATAAAGTTCTATTTTTCACCCGCTTAAAAAGTCTAAAATTGAAGAGTGCAAGATTATAGTACAGAAACCTCCTGCTGTTCCACATCGGCACGGCCCATTCCTCAGTGCGTGGAGCAGCAGTCATGCAGTTTACGTTGTCAGTAGAAAACTTTTTGTTACAGTCTGGGAAGCCTGAGGACTATTAAGAGATGAGGCAGCCAATGCACTAACACAAGCAAAGCTGAAATGAGAGTAGCAGATGCAAGGGTGAGGTGTCAGGCTGGTGCAGGAATGGGAACCAATGTAAAACGAAAAAAGGGAACAAACCTTCCACAGCTGCAGGGGTAACGCATCAAAGGGAAACTTGTACCTCACAAGCCTGTTTCTAACCACCCACATTCATGTAACCTCACTGACTTTAATAGGGCTGTGTACCCAGCTATTAGAAGGGGAAAAAAAAAAAACAGCCTGTCTTCCTTCCTGCCTGTCACCGGCCTCTCGAGCAGCATCAGGCACTTGACACAAACAGCCCCCATTCCCTGTGCTCTGCAGGTTTCATCTCGGAGTCTGTGACTTTCTGTATGACATTAATACAGAAGTCACCCTGCCTGGGCTGCAAAAGCAAAGTCCTGTTGTTTTCCCAGTGAGCATAGAAACAGGATCTGCGCATGCAAACCAGGACATTCACAGCCTTCTTAAAGGGTGTGTGTGTGCGTGTGTGTTTTAAATAAAGCTGCCAAAAAGGCTCTAGTGTCATGACATTTCAAAGAATTAGGGGGCACTCGATGCAATATGTATTACTACTCCTCAGCCAAGCACCTCAGCAGCCCGGTTAGTAAGTTTGGCCGCAGCTATTCGGCCCAGTTTTTCTACACACAAGGATTCTTAGCCAAGCATTTTTGTGGGGGCATGGGAGAGGGAGGGATGGAGAGAGACAAAAACCCTTCTCATGTAGCTCAAAGCCAGACAACTGTGTGACAACGGTGAGAGTGCTCTTTGGGATTAGGAAACTCCACATACCTGTTCTGCAAAGAGATTGGGTGTTAGCCAGTCACATTTAGACAACAAGAATACCAGCTTTTATCCTAGATTAGTACCATGCACATTACATCTTTAAAGAACGGTTTAAACATTAGCTCTAGACACTGTAAACTGCTGGGTACACAGTAAACTTTCTCCCATGCTCATCCCTTCCCCCGTGCCCAGCATCCCCAGACTTTGGGAATCGCTTGGGAAGGGGAAAGGAAGAGACAGATCGGTGGAATATATTTTGAGGAGAGCACAAAGAGGCTGCTGCTGGGAGCAGAGGAGGGAATGAGGCCAGGAGAAAGGAAACAGGCTGGAAAAAGGCAATATCTACCCCCACGGCTCCAGGCTAAAGAGGGAACGGCCACAGCATTAGTTCACGTGACAGCTATTCCTCTTTTAAACTGATAAATCTCTCTTGTTAAAATCTACCTGCCAAGTTAAATATGCTGCAAATGCCCCTCTCACACATCTCGGGTAGATGAGAAATGGCTCCAAAAAGCAAAGTTAGCTTATTCTGACAAGCAGGAATTTAGGACTTTTCCCCCTCCAGTTCAATCTTTGTCAAATGACATTGTCCAAGAACAACATGAGAGTACAGGGATGCACCAAAAGCAACGCTTCCAAATGTGGCATGGAAGGGAATCCCATGACTTCCCCAAAGAAGTGAAGATTTGTTCACATCAGAGACTCCAGCTCCACCTTACTGGCCTGCATACAACATGTTCCTGGCGCAGGTGACATACATGCCTGTGAAATCTTAACGCATGACCTGCTTCCTATAGCAAACAGGCAAGCATCAGCATTAAGTAACCATTTTCATGTCAAGCCCCTGCTAAGATGAACTGGGTTTTCACATTTTTATTTTAGTGTATATTTTACATTAGAAAAAGAACGTTAATAAAAAAGTTCCACATGCTCCTAACAATTAATTTTCTGATAAGTCCCCACCAGCATCAATACTAATATACAAATAAATTAATTTTGTCAGTTAATTTTCTGCCTGGCTCTGCACAAGCAGTGCACCTGTATTCAAGTGCCTGTCCACATTGCCAACATGTGCCAGGGAACGTGTTGTACATAATCGTTCCGCCTCCTGATGTAGTGGCGTTTAGTTTCACCTTGATGAATGCGATCAACCTTTCTCAATCATGTTACCTAGCAGGCACAACTAATCTTTACCAGGTTGTATGGCACTGTTATAACAGGGATTGTTTCATTCTGCAAAAGCCCCAAGCCTTGATTAAAAACTGTAATGCTATTATGCCCTCGTCATTCACTTTGGCAATACAACGCCCTCCCCACAAAAACAAGTAAAGCAATAATCTACATGGAAGACCTAAAATTCATCAAATGCAAGGATCTGACTTGACTCAAGGCATGTCCCCCTGTGCTAACCCAGTCTCTCTCCTACAATTCCTCTGTTCACTTTCATTTATGCCGCAGGATTTTGCACAGCTGATTTATGAGAGAGGAGATGCCACATGTAATTGCACTAAATCATAGCCACTGCTGGTACTGTCAGGTCAGACACAGCAGCAGCCACTCTTAACACCAGCCACTCTCCCATGCAATGCCAATGCTACAAAGCCCTGGTTAGAGGAGGATCAGGAAATCTAGTCGAGTTATTTTGTAACCTCCTTCAGGGCCTGGGAAGATTTTTGGGTCAGAGGAGGGGAGAGGGGGAAAAGCCCATTAAATTTACAAGCAGATTAAGGAAAAACACTCCACTGCCAATTTATTTTTAAAAAGGGTTGTGTGTTATTCTAAGGTTTGTTTGTATAATTGTACAACCGTTGAAAATTACATAAATTGTAATGATCTAATACTATTAACAGCCATTCAGAGAAAAAAATCCCTCCCCTTCTGAAACCATCAAGGGCAGGAGGGAAATGTCCCAGGAAATATGCCAATCTGAACTCTGGCCTCTAGCCTGGCAGAAACAGAAACAGAAAGATAAGAGAACAAACTGGACTAAGATGTGGTGTTTGCATGTGTCTGACTTGCAAGGGGAGGGGTGGCTTTGTCCTTGGCCATGTTCTCCCAGAGGCAGTGCCTGCTCATCACGGTGAAGCTGCCATCACTTCACTCGCTGCTCTCACCCCTGCACTCTGTCACTTCCTCCTGCCTTATGTGTCATGGAAGTCTTTCAGCAGGGTCCTCCGTCTCTGCTCTGCTATGTGCATCTGATTCTCCAAGTCCTGGAAAAAAAGAAGGCAGAAACCGTTAGCGTGAACTCCTCAGAGAGGGGTTCATTTTCTTCAGGGAGGTACTCTGCTCTAGTCTGAGAAGCACCAATCTCCACACTGCATATGCATTCTGGGTCACAAGGGTTTCTTCCTCTTGACATGGGCTCCCTCTGCAGTTACCTGGCTCCTGCTCTGTCTTAAAAAGCTAAGGAATCTGCTCTTAATCAACGAGGGCTGAATGCAGCTTCCTCCAGAGCTTTACTGGTCCCATTTCAGTTCTGCAGGACTTACTCAGCCCTCCTCCCCTCCCCTGAGGCAGTGAAATCTCCACCTCTGCAACATCTGTTGCCTACAGGAAGAAAGGCCAGACTCAAGATCTAGTTTCTCAGTACCCTCCCTTGACCGCTTTAGCTCTCTGGCAGAGGTGTTAAGCCTGTCCATAACAAAATCTGGCCAGCAGACTCAAGCAAGCAGAAGACTCACCCCTCTGTCATAGCTGTCTGCTCGTTCCACCTTCCACGAGAGATTTTCAATTTCAGCTTCCAACTGGGCCTGCTGGTATTCAAACTGCAAATAGCACAATTTCACAGTAAAAAGAAACTCGTTCAGTGGAGCAGCTTCATACCACAAGCTATGCTTGAAGTGCAGACAAATGCGTTCTGCTGATCGCTGTGTAAGCGAAGCAGGTTCGTGCCTCCTCCCCATCTACCTTCATCTATTCATCCTCAGCTGCACATTATCACTCCTTCCAGGAATTCCTCATGTGAGCACTCCCTGACCTGCATCACTCAAAAATTAACCATGCCAGCCTAAGAACAGTGAAGTGACAAATATCTACTATCTCAGCTCATTTTGCCAGAAACAGGTTAGGAAATGCTCACAGGAGTAACACTGCAGGCAGAGCTGAGGGCCTGCTAACCACAGCTGAGGGCAGTAACTTGTTCCACTGGCAGTCAGATCCAGAAGAGAACATCTGTCCACTGCCTGGCGAATACACCTAATGCTATGGAGAGCTCCGATAACATATTTTACTGGACAACTAAGTCAAAGAAACAATCTCTTCTCAGACTGGTATGTCCAGTGAATTCAGGACTATTTTTGGACATGTCCAGCCTCCAAGCCAGCAAGGAACCGAGAGCAGGAATCAGAAGGTCCACAACTGGCAAAGTTACACTCTGATTCAAGGCTGGAAAAACTATCCTCCAGCAGCTCTTCACATGAAATATGGCCCAGAGCAACATGACAGTCTAACCAGGGGACAAAACTACACTTCCAGCCTCACACCATTCTGGATAAATTGCTTGCTAGGGTAAGTGCTGCCCTGGAAAAATAAATAATGTAACGTATCAGATGACTGAGCTGTTGGTGAACCCCAAATGAAAAGGAAAGGTGCAAAACCACACGTGCTTGTCCTGTCCTTACCCCAAACTCAGGAAAAGAAAAGCAAGCAGCTCAGCACTCACAGAATCTGGTAACTCCCCAGTTAAACAACAATTTAGTTAGTAGTTTTAAGGCTGAGACTTCTCAAGGAAATGTGCCTTCGCTAATTCTCTGCGCTCCAGCTGACTTTCTGCTATTCCTTTTGGAGTCTCCTGGACAATCAGCCTGTTACCAATAACTCTCTTGCCTCGATAAAAAGCAACAGATAGCAGTGACCAAGGCCAGGTACTTGTTCGTGGCAATCCAGAACCATGAAAAGTCTTTAGGAAAAAATCCTAACATATTGAAAACCATAATTTTTGCATTATGTAATAACACTAATACATTTATGGAATGTGTAAACTAGGTCTTTGAAATGAGACATAATTATCATAGCAACACTAAAAAAAATCTTTACTCAGAAGGGGGAGAACTCAGGTGAGCTGTCGTTTTTTCCCTTTAAGATACATTTGAAAAGGGTGGCAACTATCCGATTAAACAATATTTCAGACAGCGCCAATCTCTGCAATTAAAGTGAGATGCCTGCCTATTCATTTCACCCAATATGCTGCCAACTACACCCCAAGAGACTACCAGCAAAAAAAAAAAAGTCTTACCAGTTTCTTCCTGGGACCAGACTCCATGTAGTAGGCATATGGATACGTGTACTGCAGGGTATAACGACACTATCGTTGGGTTAGGGAGGAAAGAAAAGAAGGAAAAGAGTCTTAGACTTGTAAGTCAGCACAATCGCATTTGCGTGACCAACATCGACAGAGGAGCTATCCTTCTGACAAGGGTGACTGGGCATCTCATGGCGGAATATTTTACCCCTTCCTTGGAAGAACGGATACAGCTAATTTCACAGAGGTCAATTCCAGCTGATTTTTGGCTGGCTCATGTTCTAGACCAGAGATACTGTCCCACATACCCATAATCTCCAAATTCCCCTCCTTTCACTTGGTATTGCGAATTTAGCATTCCGGTGCGTACATTCTCTTCTCTGTGCCAAACAAGCCACAACTACCTACCTTTGCAAGTAGCTTTGCAGCATTTTGTAGGTATTGCCAGTCTATCCATGTTCCCAAGTTGTTCATAACCCTTTCTTGAATTTTCTCCTGGATTCGTTGGTATGTCTGTGCCTCCAACTGCAAACTTTTATTGTGATTCTCCCACTGCAACAGGGGGGATGAGGAAAGAAAAGATAGCATCAGACCAGAATACTGCTGCTGCAGAAGCACAAGCTCTAGCAAGCAGAAATTGTAGTGGGGCAGGAGTCCAGCGAGGCAAGACATGCTGTGGGAAAGAAAACAGCAAGGCAGCACCTCCTGTAGCAAGTAGCGGAGGCTGTATACAACAGACTCGACAGCAGCAGAAAGCAGGGAGCAAACCTAACTCCTGAGAGTGGGGATGCCCTCTGATCACGCAACAACCTTGTGACTAATAAGATGGAAAGTAATGGTGATTCCTCTACTTAAAAGATTTATACAGAAGGGTCAAGAGTTTACATTTACATTTAACATGGGCTCAGTGAACTCTAACATCCACGTACACCCTGTAAACATGGCAATTTCCCAAAGCCTATTGGTTTAGAGAGCCAAGCACGAACACATTTGTTTTGTCGTAAGACTCGGCTCATGGTATGAAGAATAAACTCACTCTGATGGGGAAACAAGTGCACTGAAAAGCAGCAGCATTGAACATCTACCACATTCTCTTCTAGACAAGCTGCTTTAGAATTGCACTGTCTGGCCAGGTGCATCGAGTCTGCCGTGCAGACAAAGGGGCTCTGACTGCCTCACTGCTTTGCAACAGATTCTAAGTTTAAAAAAAAAAAAAATAAATCATTGCATGAAATTTTATGAAAACTTTGCTACAGCCAGTGGACCTTTGAACATGGCAGAGTTTATTTCTTCTTGGTCTCTTTAAAGACACAGTGCAAGGAACTCTGGAGTTCCCTGATCCTGAAAGGAAATAGTTGGAATAATATCTATCTACATCCATTTACTACAGCAGCACTCATCTTGCAGGAAGATAGGATAGCGGCACACAGGTAACACTGATTTCCTCTAGCTTAAGGAAACCGAGGAGCGAATATGATTTGCTTTGTGGAGGACACTACTGGTTTGGATGGGACTCACAGGGGAGGATTTTGAGCAAGAAAGAACAAGGCCTGACAATTCTGCACAGATTCTCTTTGGGCAGTTTCTTGCATGGAGATTGTTGGCAATGACCTTTGCACCAGGCAGGGAGCGTTAAAAGGCTACAGCAGCTCTGGCCAAAGAGATGTCTCCTACCCTCTCAAAATAGAACAAGTACTTCTTAAGGGCCTCCCTGGCCTGTGCTTGCTGACTCTGGTTTACAATATCAGGATTCTCTTTGTACCGACTGCATTCGTAGTACTCGCTGCCATGAGTCTTCCAGTCTCCCAGACACATCCAGCAGAAGTCTGCAGAAAACAGAAAAAAAAACCCCCATGGTGATACACAGAAAAAAACAGCTCTAGGAAAAGTTTCAGGAGACATAGCCCATCTGTTTTCAGATATTTCTGCTAAGCTGAGGAACACACATTTTGTCACATCTTGCATAATGGAACGCAACAGGTGAGCCAAAAATACCAGCCTGTCTTGAAGGTTTTTGCCGTACAGCCTCCCATGCAAGTATGGAAATAAACCCTGAAGCGCTGCATTCTGTACACCCCAAGAGGCTTGGACCAATACGTAGGACCATACTTGCGCACTGCACAGGCTGTCACGCCAGATTATGGAAGAGGCAGGCTGCAGTCTTATTTGCAAGTTGCGTCCTCCATCCCTGCCATACGTGAATCTCTGGCTGAATAAAATATGAACGATCCAATCCAAAAGTGAACAAACTCACACAAAAGTCTGCCATCAGCTTTCTCAAGGAGAAAATAACTACCCTGGTAACTCTAGACGTCAGTGGTTTACGACACTTCAAGTTAGGTTCGGTTCCCACTGTACTGGGAAGAAAGTGGAGGAAAGAGAGCAACAGTGGAACCTGCATGGCAGTTTTCTGATTTCAGGGGAAAGCTGGGAGCGTTCCGCTGGGAAGGAAAAAGGATGGAAATTAAGTCGCTACAACAGGGATCATTTTCATGTCACTCGTAACGAGAGCCTGAAGTTGCTATTTCCAGAGTTCACCAGCATTTCGAGTGCCAGTCACCATGGTACCTTGGCACGTGCTTGCTCACCCTTGTCACAGAGCTCCATTAAATCACGTCCAGTGCTGCCGAGAACCCCAAAGCAAAGGAAATGAGAGAGGACAGAAAACTTTAAACATCTTCCAAATAAGGTTCTGATATTAAAACGTTTCCTAGTGGTACATTTAACACAGAAGGCTGAACATAGGCTATCTCAACTCCAAGACAATAGAAATGAATTCTGCCATGAAAAGAGCAGTGCAAGAACAGGCCATCGTTTTGTAGCACTACACCACAGGCCAAGGACAGTCAGGCAATTACTTGCACAGGGGGTGGACTGAGGAGTCTAGCACATAACGTTATCCAGAACGATTCAAAACTCCTTCTGCAGTTTCATCTGAGTTGGGACTCATTCTTACTATCAGTGAGCAAAAAGAAATGGCTCAGTTCTGCCAGTATTTTCAACTGATGACAAGTCCATTTACATGGAAAGCATTTCATTCCCTTCTGAGATGGTTTTCTGCTGTTAACATTATGGACACAGATGGAGACTTCTTTATACAATGGACCTGTCAGGGAGAGGGAGCCAAAACAGCACTGAATCAGAACGCAGCTGAGATCATAGTCAGTGAAAAAAAATAAAGCTATCACACACAAGCCTGTAATTAGTGTCTTTTCCACCTTTTACTAGAGGAAAAGGTATTTCAGTTGATTTTCACAATTTGCCTTCATATCACAAAAAGAGGAGAGAACATCATCACTAAAAAACTGCTTCCAAAACCTTCTACTTACCATGCTTGCATTTGGAGCATTGCTGAAAGAGAAGAGATGGGAGACACTGGTTAGTGGAAAGTGGAAACACATTTCCGCTAAGAACAAGGAGGATCTGAAGTATTCAGGGAACTGCTCACCATGTGATTGCAGCCTCCATTCTTTTCAATACAGATATTGCACTTGGGACACTGGGAAAAGAGAGGTATTTGTGAGACCAAACTCTGTCCTTAGCAACCTTCTGGAGAATGACAACACTTGCATGATTAATTCCCCCTCCCTCTTTTTTAAATACATGTACGCACATGTGAGAACATGAGCATATACATACACCCCTCTCCCCACCAATTCCTGACAGCTCCGTTTAAAAAGGAGGCAGAAAGCCAGGGATGGTGCACTGCAGCACTGGATTGCTGACTCAAGAAAGCATCACCTCCTTGTCAGTGTTCTTACCGCTTGTAAAACTGAAGGTCTCACTAAGCTACCATTTAGCAGTTGCTCAGGTATACAGATATAATCAGTTCACGTATGACAACAGCTTCCATAGCTACTTACAGAATAAGATAAATCAGCTCTGTATCCTGCCTTCAGCAGCCACTAACAGAAGACAGTTAGCTAGTAGAAGGGACTCTGACTACAGTCAGAGCCACACACGTCCTTGCTCCATTGGCAGTCCATTGATCCCCTGCAGCGTCAGGTTCCGTTACACTTTTTAGGTTGCACAGGTATAAAGAAGGAAGTGAATTTTACGGCTTTTTATAAATTTATAACGGCGGGCAAAATGCATGCCAGGACAACGCTCCGTGTAACAGAACCTTACTTCTACAAAGGAGAATAGCAGCAACTACTCTATCACAACACGTTGACACCTTTTCCAGAGAAGGATTGGGATTTATTATCTCTAGTCTGCCTAAGTACTCGCTTTTCCAACAAAACTGAAGCTTGTGGCTAATTAGCACTGTCACATTTGTCATTAGCTATCGTAAAAAAAAAATGCCAGCTAAGAACTGTTTTGAAGTCAGGCCACAAAATCCCCAGATGACATTAAACATTCCAATCTGCAGACGGCTAACCTAGAGAATAAAGACAGAATATCTACAATCTTTAATTAAACACTACAAATTCTACAGATAGACCTGACTGCACAATACATAACAATTTTTTTTCATGGGTCTAAATTTACTGTAAGTATCTTAATGTCTTTTTTACAGATGCTGTCACTCCCTTTTGCTGTCCTTGCCAAATCAAGACTTAACTCCTGCACCTTCCAATTCACAGTACTCTATACAATTGTCCAAATGTAAAGAACACTCGCGTACTATTTGATAGCGGCTCTGCACTTACTGTACCCCCTCCTCTTCCTTTAAACATGCCTCTGCTGATTGTTGGAGGCAGCCACAATTCTGCCTTTTGCCTGTGGGAGAGCAGCACACCTGACTGCCAATGATTTTCACACCGCACCATGACTGCAATAAGGACCGCCAGGTCCCCAGGGATCCCTGTGGCACTCTGGCCAGGAGGGCAGCTGGACTTCCTGCACAAAGTGTTCCCAAGGTGTTCAGCTGTGTAATACCACAGTCCCTAGAGAGCTGGCAGAATATGCCGTCTGAAAAAGCAAATAGCAGAATATAGTGCTGAGTATGTATAAATTGTATCCTGCTTTCCAGGCAGGACTAGAGGTCAAGAAAGAGCATGAAGGTCTTCTTACATCTTTAGTGTGAGCACTGATGTAGTTGGCTGTTTCGGAGTCATCTGCACATTTGGTGAGCCATTTCCGAATGGTAGCACAGTCTGTGGGTGCATGGTACATCTGCCGACATTTGAAGCTTAACAGGAAAAAAAAAAAAAAAAAAGACATATCAATTTTGAAGGACGTTACTCAGGAATTGAAGATCTTCTGGTGACCAAAATCTCAGGAGGCCAGGTGAGGAAAGGGATACAAATGTACTTGTGTATTACCAGAGTGCAAAGACCAAGGCTGAGTGTTGCATGGCCAGTGCTCCAATAAACCCCGCCCTCTCACGCAAAAACCTGTGCGAGGATGAGAGTGAACTGAGGACTTCTTTAACAAAACCCACAAGCCAGAGGGCTGATATATCCCTTCCTACAGAGTCTACCCCTGTCTGCTCTAAGGTGACTACAGAGGTCTTGGCACATACCAGTGCTTTACAAGTTGGTTAAATCCAATGATGGATATCAAGCTCCTGTATTAGCATGTTAGATCTTAACAGCCCCAGGTGAGCGAGAGCTGCGTGCATGGAGACACCAGGAAGTCAGGTCTCTAAACCCAGTTGTATCGCACCCCACAGACATTCTCAACAGTAGTGATTCTGGAGACCCAAGAGCAGAAGACATTCCAGCAACCCCATTTTTACTACAAGCTGTTTCTTTTCTTTTTAGCCCTGTATACACTTGAAGTCAGACAAGGATCATTAGCCTTCAACAGACATTTACTCTCGCACCAGGCTCAAAACACACCAGACACTGGTGTGTCTGGGAGTCAAATACTTGTAATAAACCTAAAAACTCAAAACTACCAGCTGATAGCTGCGACACCTTCACATCTACTACCAGAATGTCTTTATCAGTATTGGTAACCTAGCCAAATTAAGAGAAGGCAAGATTTGTAACCCCTTGTTCAATCAAGTCATGAGTTCCCTCATTGTCAGAGCACCCACCTCCCAAGGAGTTTAGGGAGCTAGGGGAGGGCTGACCACCTGAAGAAGTCAGATCCGGAGCGTCCAATTACTCAAGCCAACTCAAATTACAAACAACTCCAGCAATGCGTTTGAGATGCTTCTACACCCTGAATCTGTTGGCAAGCAAACGGAGCGGCCCTGAGGACAGCATATACTTTCCCCACAATCTTTAACCTTTTCTGTTTCTTACCAGAAGACCTCATTGCAACGATTGCACTGCACTCGCCGGGCTTTCGGCTCCTGTACCTGTATGACCATAGGGCAGTCTGCACCAGGACAAAGCTGCAGCTGAAAATGGCTCTGTGAACATACCAAGGTGGTAAGATTAGCAGCGGGCGCAGAAGAACATTACCAGTTTAAGTTTAACCACCCTTATCCTCAAAAATACACAAGCCAGTATTTCCTACTGAAAAAGACAGTGGAAACTGTCACTAAATGTTGGCTAACAGAGCAAACAAACCTCCTTCACATTAGGAAAGGAAGCATTAGGTACTTACAGCTTCTCTAGAAGAGGGAGTTCAAAATGTAGATTACAGACCAAGTAAGAAAATTCAAACTCAAAGCAACAAAATCAAACAGCTCCACCAAGACACGCTGAACAGTTTTACTACATTTGAGCTCTTCCCCCATCCTCGCCTTATGCCCCAGAACGTACTCATCTGCCCTCTTGTGGGGACTCTTCCCTCCCTCCCAAAGAGTCTCTTATTGAAGACAGGCAACACCACTCTTCCACACTGCCCCTGCTTCTTGAACGCCCTCACTGTTCCCACTCTCCAGAATACTTCCTACACATTCAACCTTAATAATTTCTTCTTTAGTTTCAATAAAACTCATGCAAAGTGTTATAAAGCAAACCAATACAGCTGTGCTGCACTGAGATGAAGGACTTATATTTCAGAACCTAAAATATCTACGCAAGAACAAGGAAGAGTTTAAAAATGCAGATCAAAGTTTTAAGTTCTCAGCTGCAACACTCAGAGAACTCTGCTTCAGGAAAGTAGCCAGCAGCAGCTAAGGAGTTCCTGGGTGACCTTACAGCAGAATCTACTTTGGCAACCTGCTCGAGTATTTTGTCAGTGAGCCCTGTCCTATAGCCACAGCCATGTCATGTTTATCAGAGACAAATTTGCTGCAGTTACTGCATTTCTAATGAAAGATGCAAGACGCTGCAAACAAAATTTCTGCAAGTCATTAGCGATTATAATTGACCCAGGGTACTTTAAGAGACAATACCTCCACATAGTCCCTGAAGAGGTAGCGCCTGTATTTATCTTTCAGCTCCTCACTAGGCAGCAATGGAAACACAAAGTCTTCTGGTGTTCGAAGTAGGCAGTCCTGAGCCATGCAGGAGACCCCTGTAGAGAAAGCAACGTTCCAGCACAGTGCAACATGTACTAGGGAGCGAACGCACAGACAGCATCCAACACAGTTTCCTAGGTGCCATCTGTTGTTGTGGCAAGAGGGACACAACTGTGAAACAAATCTATCAGGGTTGCTGAAAAGCTGAAGCCCAACAGTATTCACTGAAAGATGACAGGGCACAAGTGCATCCAAGACCAGTAAGTACTTCACCCAGTATTCACAAGGTCAGGCACTTAAAAGTAGAAAGTTGCATGTTACTGCCAAGCCAGCGCAAGGGACAGGCTAACAGAAGCCCAAAGCAACTCTGGCAACTACTGCTTTCTACCTAACAAAAAGGGAACAGATGCTTTCATCTACAAACACTGCAAAGACATTGAAACTATACATCATGAGAGATGCAAACGCAAAATACAGCAGATCCACAACTTCTAATTTGTTACAGTCATGCCCTTCAGATCACAAAGGGGAGAAAGAGCATCACAGTGGATCTACGGACTTGCAGGTTCTGTTAGGCAGGAGTAACACACTCCACGCAGTGTGCCAACAATCAGGTCAGACTACTAGTTAAAATTAAAGACACAAGTAGTTTGTCAGAAAGACTCATTCCATGTTCCATTTCCTCGTTATTGTGATGTTGTTACAGCAGTTCAGCCACTCAGCTTCAGAATGGTCAACCCACTGAATACAGACCCACTACCACACCCGCCTTGAACTCACCAACTCCAACACCATCCTTGACAAGCACTGTACAATGCTGCTCCCAACAGCTGCGGCAGAACTGGTGCTGACAAGCCAGAGAGAGCAAGTTCTCCTTCCGGACAAACTGCATGCACACTGCACAGTGATGAGAGGAATGTACCATTGCCTAGGAGAGACACAAATCAGCATTACGGTGAAAACATCCCAGTTCTCCCAGAGCATTCTCACCTCATTCACAGTCACCTTCATCATCATCTTTGTGATAATGTCTCAGGTGAGCTCCAGGCCAGAAGGGGTTCGTAAGTGACTGGTATGCTGGGGTGCTACACTGCCCCGACAGCCAGTCCTTCTCAGGAGCCTCTCATCTCACAGAGCACAACAGATTCACAGCCACTGAACAGCTCCTTTTCAGTCTGGCACTACCCAGAACTCAGCTTTGCTTTTCTGATATATACTATCTCCCAGTTTGAAAAATGAAGAACTACTCCACTGCACTGGTCTGGATCTCCCCTTTGGTAGCACAGAACTGATCACCAGACAGCAGAGCTAGCCCTTAACGCATCTTGGCTCACCCGTGGGACCTGAAGAACTAGGTCTAGCACAGCATCATCAAAAGAAAGGCTCTACAAAGCTGCAAGCAGGAGTTTATGTTCCTATTTCCCCTTTCACAGAGAAGCCATATCATCACTTTTCATCTACTTAAACCTTTGCTACCCTTTGAGAAGCCTGTGTGAGACAGTGCTCAGCCTCCATGCATACCACTACATGCCAGAGATGCTCACAGAGGAGCAGCAGCATGAAAGCCCAGCCACGTGACCAGCAGAGTTCATTTTATAGCAGGACTGCATGAAGAAAGGAAGTAAAGCACCTCTGTTCTAAGCAGCACCACTTATGGACCAGAACAAGACTCATCAAGTCAGCAATGACTAGGTGATCGTCTAGATCAACCGCTCAATGTGAACAGCAAGCACACTACCTCACACCTTTGTATGCTGTCCCTCTGGGCTCATCAGTATAGCCTCTGCCCACAGGGTTAGTTGTTGTGCAGGTACTCAGTATGAAAATCTGCCCCAAAGTGGCCCCAAAAAATCATCATTCTGCATTAGGAGCCTGAAGCACAGGGCAACTTGGCGTAGCTCATACAGAAAGACTGTAATCAATTTCCTACCGAACCAGATTTATCAAGTCTTAAACCAACCTCTTAAAGTTAAGATCTTTCTTCCCAAAATGAAGTCACCATTGCAATAGAGGATACATAAGTGACAGCAGATAAAAGAACTAGACAAATCTCAAAACGCATTAAAAAAGAGCTCATGGGACTCATTTGCAGGTATGTCAAATGACAAAGAATTTTTCTGGAACCTGGGCCGATTACAGTTTATTTTGAGCCCATGAAGCTTACTCCTGCCAGCTGTTTAAGTGTTTTCACTCTCACCTAGTTACAAGTCAGCTCAGATGCCAAACCAGGCTTTTAGTATATTTAAAGCCCCCCTCTCCCCCTTACTGTTCCCTGCCCCGAAGGGTCCTTCTCGGGTGTAATAGGTTATCCTTCAAAATCTGACACAAGGCAATCTGTTCCCGGGGTTACTGTAGATTGGACTGAGATACCCGCTGTGAATAAATTCTGTAAACATGCAATAGGAAGCTTCTATATAAAGGAAAAAAAAAGTATTCAAAGATCTGCATAGCCCTGGCTGCAAAACATAAGCTGTTGGTTCAAATATCACTACCGACTGGCTCAGCAG